AGTCAATAACTGTCACTGTTGCCGCCCCCCCCCAACATCATGACAGATCGGGGTCGCGTGCAGGTGCACCACTAGCGGTTTTGGATCCCAAACCCAGACCAATCAAATTATGTTTCAAAGTCTTTCAGGGGCCCTTGAAATTGCCCTAACTTCCCCCCTTTTTTTGGCGCCCCCGAAAAATATATTAATATACCAAGAAGGCATTTCTTTGGAATGTTACCTAACCCTAACCTACCTAACCCTAAGCCTAATAGTAAACACATATTTCAATCTGTGTCTGCAATCCTTAACTGGGTTAGCAGTTAGAAGATGGATGGATGGATGGATGGATGGATGGATGGATGGATTTAAACCTGTGTTCCTCAGGCTTCACTATAGCGCTTCAGCAGAAATGCAAAGATGTTTGATATCTCTTCAGCTGTGTCTTTATGGAAAGGACAAAAGACAGCTATGAAGATATATGAGGAATTATGAAGAATAAGGGATCTCAAAAGCCTGACCATTGTCCCAACTGTACAAACCCTGTAGGGTAAACAGGTGCTACATCAAAGCGTAAAGCGTCAGAAGGTGTTCGGCATTAAAATGTTATCTGTGTTTGTCCCTCTGCACCTCTAACAAAACACTGCTAAAGGTAGTTAAATAAGTCATTGAAAAATTAGATCTGTAGCCAAATGTGCCAGCTAGGCCAGTATTTCAACCCAGACAGTCCACATTTTTGCTCCCTCCCAGCTTCTAGCTAATCAAGAACACCAAATACGTGGTACAGGTGCATTGGGAGCAGGGAGGGAGCAAAATTGTCGATTGTCTGGGGGCCCCCAAGACTAGGTTGAGAAATACTGAGCTAACCAAAAAATACAAGCGCCTCTCGACTTGCGTAAAAACCGACTTTAGTAAATTCAGACTTAAGCAAAAATATCCATGATACATGGAGTTTACGGAATTACTAAAACAAAAAGGCGACACGTGCCTGAATTAACACTTCTCTTTTCATTCATTTAATATATTTTCTTTAGTACGTATTAGTAGTATATTTTTGGCTTAAGTGTCTTTGCTGTAAGGTGTCCTGAATGATATGAGGACGGAAAATTTGACTCACTTAAGGGGTTATGGGACGGATTACTTAGGTCTGTCGAGAATCGCCTGTATCACTCCCAGCATTGAGACTGTGGATTTACACCCGGCTGACCTACTGCTGACCTACTGCTGACTCGACCATCCAGGAAGTGTCACAACCGTAATCTGTCCAAATATGAGGGTTATCTCTCTCCTCGACATCCTCCTGGGGAGACTCCTGGTATCAGTTAGGGCACCTGGAAGTGATCTGTCTTGATTTGGGCCAACGTGCCTCTGACTCATGTGCATGTACTGTCTACATCCATCCATCCATGTTCTGACTGCTTATCCTGCCCAAGGCCAGGGGGGATCCTGGAGCCTGTCCCACGCAGGCTGGGGTGCATCCTGTAGGGGATGGTTATTTTTTACAGTCTGTGAAATAAAATGTAATTATTTAATGCTGGTTGAACTATATGGTTGAATGGTTGAAAGTCACACAGAAAATAATACTTTATTCATTCTCCTGCCTGGCCTTTAGGTCAGTCTCTAGTACTGTATTCTTATACGTAATATTTTTTTTTTGTTTTTAGTGTGTCAGCCATATTTGAAGGTGTACCAGGGAATGCAGGCTGTGTACACGTCAGGAATATAGTAAGTCTTCTTAGCGTTCTGTCCTAATTACACTGTGCTCTAGGCCTCAGGCTGTTGTTGATACTGATTATCGGTGTGTGTATGTGTCTGTTTGCGTGTGAAACAGTCAAATCAGCCCAGGATTCAAAGGCAAGATCTATATAACCCTGGAACCAGCCCAGCTGCTAAAGGGGGATATTATGGTAAGTGTGTGTGACACTGTATGGGGGGGGGGACATGTGCGTGAATGGGCTGTCGTCAAGGAAACAGTCCCAGGGGAGCAAACTCTGCTACACCTCAGCCTAGGTGATGTCAGCACTAAGTTACCAAGCCCTCCAAGGGTGTGGAACATCTCCTTTGTTGCGGGTCGCCTTTGATCCTTCTGGAACTTTCTTCTGGAACTTCCAGCATTCTGTATTAGGCCCTGTATCATGCCCTGTGTAATTTACACCATCACTATAATCATGTGAAGATTTGTGCGTCTTCTAAACCACAGTTCTTGGGCTTTAAAATTGGTATATTTTTGGTTATTTTGATATTATTTTTATGTGAATTCCTGTGGGTTGGTCTTGGGTGGGTGTTGCCTTTGATAAGTAAAAACCACAAAGGTAGCAGTTTCAAAACAGAAAACTCTAGGTATTTAGTGCCTCTTGCAGATGCATGCTAAACAGTGTAATAGGAAAGTGCTATACCCTGGTAAAAAGTGCCGCTGGCTTGTGGGATGTGTCATTATGATCACACCCTTTTCTCTCTGTCTCATAATGGTAGATCAAATGTTACCACAAGAGTACCCACGCTCCGGGCCGGGAGGTGATGTTCCGTGTCCAGTTCCACACGGGCATCATCCACGGGTGCCAGTTGACGTTTGACAAGGAGGACCTGGAGCATGCCAATAAAGGTATGGCATAGCCCACTATTGGAACACAGGGGTATGACGGTATCATACGAACTTGTACTGAACGCTGGCTGGGCCAGATCTGTCCGGTTATGACCCGACGCTTCTAGCTCCCTTCGCTTCTAGAGCATCAGTCTCTTTGCAGAAAGTTCTAGCACCGGCAACCCAAGCTGTCGTGACAATGACCTCAACAGCAGACCCCGATCTGTCACCACAATGGTAGCTTCCTGTGTTTGTTTTCATGACCTCAGCCAAGGGGAGCTCTCACACAAACAGTCAAATAAAATGAAACATCACCATACACATAATAAATAAGTCTGTCTACAACAAAAGACAACAAACAGACCAAGGAATAACAAAATATGCTAAATGTATCTTATCAGTCTCATAGCCATGGTGGGAGAATGACATTTGTCCAGATATGTTTTTTCCGTGAATTATTTCTGTAGGATTTTAATTTTTTTCTTTGAGCTACCATCCTAATTTTTTTATCATTCCAGATCCCAGGTTTCCTGATTATGGAAAGATTGAGCTGCTTTTCTCAGAAAGCCCCGAGAAGTTGCAAGGTATGGCTTTCAATAGCTAGACCCACCGTTCCGGCATCCCTCCCTCATCCCACCCCCCAAGCCCCTTCTCCCTGCCATGTTCCCCTGCACTGTATTCTGTCACTGGGGCAAAACTTCCAGCATCAGGTAATGGAAACCGAAGAACTCACCCATCCATGTGCCAAACCCAAATCGCCACTCATTTCTGAAAAAAGGTTTGCACCCAGTACTGTGGTGTAGGGAGTACATCTGAAGCTCTGACTTGTTGTAGCCAGAAGCATCCAGTAGGGGGAGTAGATGGTCACGCTGACGATGATGTACATGTGACACAACAGGAACAAATACAGATTTATGGTGCCCGCCAATCAGCTTGGAATGCAGATCAGGCCTCTACTGAAAACAGACAGGACTGTCTTGCGTTATCCGTTGGCAAAGCCAGTTTGGGAAGAACAGGCTTCTCGCTGCCCAGATTCTTCATTGCACAGGGGAGGCCTTAAGCTCGGGAACTTTCATAAAACACCAACCAACAAACCATTTTTTAGAAACATGTTTAATAGATATCGGCTCCAGGTTCACCGCAAGCCTGTGCTGGGTTTGTACTGGTTAGGGAATATGCATAAAGGGATTACAGATTTTTCAAATGTGCCAATTTAACTGTGTAACAGTGATACTGCTGAATTGTGAATAAATGCCTTTTTTATTGTCACTATACACATAAGATTAAGAGCAGCTCCTTCAGTGCAAGCATGTACACACGACAAGCAATAAACAAAGAGTGCAAACAGTTCTGCAGCGCTATATACATATGGAAGAATAAATAACTAAATAGGGTTTTTTAAATATATGAATATACAATGTGATATGCAGTGTGGGTTATCGCACATTATTTAGGTATTACACGGTAATAATGATCATGTGCATGTGCATCCATGTTGCATGTTGCTGTATCTAAGGATGAGTCCTTGAGATTATCTTGCGTGTAAAGATATGAGCTAAACAGGGGTGGATTACCTTTCCTGGGGGTCCTCGGCTGACATCAGCATAGACACAAAGTGGGGCTGGGCCCTAATGTTTGCTGGGGCCTTTGCTTTAACCCGCCCTGAGAGCTGGAAGCTGTAGGCTTCAGCAGCCAGTCTGTGGTTCTCCTTTATGCCTCTGACTGCTTTCCTTTAAGAGACTGTGTGGCTGAGAAGTGTTGTCCGTGAAGCCCCCCCTCCATACCCCCCTATCTGATGACGTTCTCTCTGTTTCCCTGCATCCCAGGTGGCGAGTGCTGGCAGAACGGGCCTGAGGTGACAGTGGACTACAACACGGGGGACCCCATGGTCCGCTGGGACTCCTATGAGAACCTGGCCACTGATTGGGACGGTAGGCGCACAACCCCCGTCTCTTTATAACCTGCCACAAATGAGGGGCGTGAATCTCCCATCAGACAGGGTTATGACGCAATTCCTCTGACCTGCGACGCCTGATTCAGTTTCTCTGATATCACTGGGAAATGCAACAGATATTTCCGTGTGTGACTCCGGAAATTTACCAGATTTTTCTTTAAAAAATGAAAACAGACCTATACTTCTATCTATAACGTCTTATCTGTTAATAGCACTCTATGGTACTAGTTGGCACTCTATGGTACTTATATTGTTAACGCTACACCTACGCCCCTGTGTCTGTTCAAGGACACGATGTCAGTCCTTGGAGGACTCAGATCGGTGTCCCACCCACTGAACGCCTTAGCTGTCACTGAACTGTCAGAGTCAGCAGTCCCACTCATTCAGGATGTGGAAGTTACTCTATTCATTTCCACATAATAGCGGCATATAGGACATGACACCCGAACAGTGTCTCAGTGTAAACCGATCGTACATAAATTGCTGTGGGTTAAATTTCACATCATATTTATTTAGCAAATGCTTCTATCCAAAACGATGCACAACTGAACTGCAGATTTCCAAAACACTCCAGGTCCAATGGAATTTCTTTGAAAATCCACCCAAGGGACTGATTGAATTTTGGAAATTTGATCTTCAGTTGAGACAGCAGGGTCAGCCAGTCCCTGGCGCAACTGGGGAAAATCACTCTATTGACCATGGCATTTTGAACCGGCAACCTTTGGATCATGGGCACGGGTACCTACACATTGCCCACCCAAAGCATATTGATCAGTCTGACTTACATGCTGCCAGAAGAGTACATGACTGTACCTGGGTAGTAAAGCTGGGGATTTCCCTTTCATCAGCGCTATTTGTTTATTCTCCAAAATTCCGAAAGTGACACAAAGACCCCCCAAAAAAGCAGAGTGACATATAGCCTTTGTCTCTAATTAATCTGAGGCTGCAGAAGCTCTGATACGCAACTGCAGAATGTTTCTTCTCATTCTGGAATCTTCCAGCATCCCAGAGACACTTTCAAGTACAAAAATGTTGCGAGTAAACGTGAGTTTCACTACGGATGGTCCTTAGTGACCCCAAGAGCCGGAGGACACATATTTACCAGTCAATAGCACTTGTCCATTTCCTCTGAACCGCTCAGGATGAGGCTGTTTTGTCACATTTGGAGACAGATTCCAACCCACATTGAGCGTGCCTCTCCGGGGAACAATGACCAGCGCTGTTTTTGCAACTCGATCTTTTTGCTGAATGTTTCTGCTGTCCGACGGTCCAGAGCAATGCTATGATTTTGTCACTCTGCCGCGTTAGTTCCACACCACCTCACACAGAAGTTCTTTCTCTTATCGATTATTTCAACGTGAGACATGACAATGGAATTTGCTAGAATTATTACTCTACAAGATCAGTGTGCTCAGTGAGACTACTGGAATTATGGGTATATCAAGGGGCAGGATGCAAGTTTAGCATTTTCACCTTGCAGTGTAGGTAGCCCATCCCAACAGCTATGAAAAGTGGAAAACACTACACAGCCATAACCGGTATTTGCTGGGGACAAACAGATCATCGACTCAGGAACAAGTAATCAGTGCAGGACTGGCCCTGTCACCTGTTAGGATATGCTAACTACTAGTCTAGCTCTGTGACAAGAGCTTCAGATCAGACCTCAGTCATTTTACAAAGAATGAAATCTCCCTTTCATTTCTGAGTGAACGTATAACAAATATCCCTGTTTTTCTTTTAGCTATATAAAGGCCCCGTCCTCGGGTCAAAGACCGACGGGAAACAAAGCACAAACAATTGATACACCCGACACTTGGGGTTTCATGCGCATCTGGTTTTAGCACAGCACTATATATGTTGATGGCAGACATGTAATTTGGCGATAAGTAGAGCTGGGAAATAACTCGAGTGAGCCTAGAAAACAGCCGACAGAAAGTGGGACCGTAGGCTAATTAAGGCAGTAGCCTGGCTTTATGAAAAGCCATAGCCACTAAGGAATGTTGTTTTCAGCGTCTGATGGTTTAAGCTCAATTCGTCCTCTTTCCCTTTCTCTGTGACTGCTTCTCTCTCTCTCTCTCTCTCTCTCTCGCACTGTGGGAGATCAGGTTACGGCCCACCTTTCTGCCCGCCCACCCTACCTCCCCCCCCCAGCTAAGTCCTGCCCTTGTGTTTACATTCCCACTCCCATATTTGGCCAAACCAAGGTCTGGTGTATACTGCACAAACACTTACCTTCTTCAGAGAGAGAGCGGGGCTCCAGCAAGCTGGGCTTCTCTCATGCTAAACTGGCAATCGCTAGTGTGCCCCCGCTCCCCCTCCCTGAAACATAGTCACTGGGAGTTGAGAGCAGAGAGGAGTAGAAGCAGAAGCGTTACCTGCACCTGGCTGCAAGGTAAGAAGACTTTCTTGAAATTAAGTTTAAGAGAAAGGAGAGGTTGGAGTTGGGTGGGGGGAGGGGGAGAAAAGGACAGAAAGTCTGAGGGGGGGCTATCACCTTGTGAGAAGGAATTCAGGCTCCTTACCGATTCTGACTTGGGGCAGCTGTGTTCAGCAGTGGGGGGGGGGGGGGGGGCTTTAAGAGAGCATTCCTTTCTCCCTCCAGCGCGGAGCCTCCTTCTCCTGCAGCACGGAGCTGGTGGACTCTCCATCGGGCAGTTTTTAGCTGGTTAATGAGCTTCTAGCCCGGGGTGGCTGGTTGAAGGGGGGATCCTGTACCAATTCACCCCTGTGTGCCTGGAGTTTGAGCCTCTTTGCCCCGGCTGTCCCGGGAACCCGGCATGTCACAGCAGACTGGTTCGGTTACATTGCTGGTAGGAGGTGGTGCAGGACCCACACGCGTGTCCTGTTTGAGACCAAGCTGGGGGCAGCTGCAGTCAGCTGGGGTACGTCAGTGTCTGGGACCCTAACATGGTTCGTTTTCATAGACGGGAGATTGCATTTCCGTGCAGGATTAAGGTGCAGCGTGCAATGTGGAGGCGTAACCTGCAGAGTTTCTGCTTTAATCAAATTAAATATCATTGTGGAGCCCTAGAAACTGTAGAACCACAGAGAGCAGAAGCGCCTTGTCGGAGCGGAAAGTTGCATGCGAGAGATTGAAGCGTGACTTTAAACATTAAATACTCGGTGCCTTCTGAAATGTGACTTGGATATTGTCTAATGCTTTTCAGGAGGCTTTTGTGTTTGGTTTGTGTTCTTCTGTTAGCGTTTGTAGGTGTCAAGGTGAATTTTGAACTGCAGTTTTTTTGGGGGGCTAATGATAAAACTGACTGAAGCAGATATGCTATGGTAACATAATGAGACCAGAGCTTCCACGTCTAGCTAGATCAAAGTCAGGGAGGGCAGGATGTTTTTCTTACGATACCCATATACTTAAATCCCTGCTGCTTATCTGCTCTGGTCTTCATGTTGATGTAGAGCATCTCAGGGAGGGTGGAAGACTGAAGCAGAGGGGGGTCTTTGAACCAGCTCATCAAAAGGACTTTTGACTGCTCACTAAATGTCTGGAAAAAGTAGGGATAGACTCTGTTAAGTGCTAGTCATTCTGCATGTCAGACCGAATGCAATGCATTATGGTTAATTTGCTGAAGACTAATGGTACACAGGTGTCCTGGGTTCCACAGCTAACCATTTCCCTTGATTTCTCCGCAGTAGTGCATGCACAGGGGCCTGTAGACGGCAGCCTATACGCCAAGGTGAGGAAGAAGAGCACGGACGGGGCCCCACCTGGGGGCCCCACGACTGGTAGCCTCGAGCACAGTGACCACGCCTTGTCGGCCAGCAGCGACTCTGGCCTGTCCAGCACATCGCTGCGCATAGGTCGTGGACCCAGCCACCAGGAGAGGGCTGCGTTGCATCGCCTGCTCAGCGGCTTTGGCCTGGAGCCTCCAGCAACCCCTGGGGACATGGTGGAGCAGCAGGGGGCAGGGGTGCCCAATACAGGCGGCGTGGGGGGTACTCGAAGAGTAGCAGCAGCTCATGTGCACGCCAACGGCGAACGGGAGACGGACATCCTGGACGATGAGGCGCCCACTCATGACCTCCACAGCGCCGACAGCATTGGCACACTTTCCTCGTCCGAGGGGCCGCACTCGCACCCACTTGCCCGCTGTGCCTGTCATCAGAGCAGCCAGAACTCTCTGCTGTCTGATGGATTTGGTGGTCATGTCCCCATGAGCTTTGTACCAGATGACTATGAGCGTGGTTACCCGTCTCCTGGGGGCGGCCCCCTGCCTCAGGGGGCCACGTCAGGACCACAAGCTTTCATGGTGGGTGGGTACTCCACACAGACGTGGGTGAGACAGCAGCAGATGGTGGCCGCCCAACAGTACAGCTACCCCTTGGCTGACAGCGAGGTGCGTTACCCTCACGACAAACCGGGTTCTGCTTTGACCGCCCATGTGGCCCCCGAGGGCAGTGGGGGCCACAACTCAGCTGAGAACCCTGCTGACAGGGAGCCGGGGGGCTCTAATGGCCTGGATACCGCTGCAGCAACCCAGGACGATGAGCTGGCCTCGCTCACCGTGGACATCGATCAGTCCATTGACCAACTCAACCAATTAATCATGGACCTGGACCCCACATTCGTGCCCATACCCACGCAGTCTAACTCAATCAGGAGAGATGGGAAGAGCCACTTCAATGGCTCTGAGTCGCTGTGTGCCAATGGAGGTGGCCGCAGGCCAGCAGAGAGCCAGAAGGACATGCAGCCAACATCGTACCCAACAGGTAAGCCCAGTATTACACGTTACAGTCACAAGAGATCAATGTATGGATATGGAGGCTTCATGTACGTCAGGTTTTACATATTCTTCTAAACTGAAATTCCCTGAATATTGACCTTTCCTTGATTTGTGGAAACCGAGGCTCTTATTTCTGTTACCACTTGTCGTGTCATTGCAGAAAACGGGGGCAAGCGCCAAGCTGTAAAAACATTTCTGTCAGACGGCTGGCTTCAGGGCTCATTTGTGCTGGGGTAGCTGAAGCCGAAATGGGCGCAGCTCAGTAAACCGCAGATCAGAATCAAACTCTGTTAATTGTGTCTGAGAAAGGGCAGTTAAGTGTTCCGGTCAGCGGCTACTGTTCCTGCCCACAGTCTGAGTTCAGCAAACGTATGCAGGCAGTGCCTACAGCGCATTCCTTGTGGCCTGAAGGAAAATGGGCTGCTATCTTAGAGGCTGTGAACCATAAACTTAGAGCAAAGGAACTGTTGCATAAGACCCGTGTGCTTCTCTGTGTGTGAAACCTTTAAATATGCCTGCTTCTGGTTACCAACTTGCAACACACAGGAATACCCTTCTGTGACTTCTTTCTTTTTCTCTTTCACTTTCTGTCTATCTTTCCCTGTTTGTCTTGCTCCATGTCTCTGTTTCTTTGTCGAGAAGCTACTGCAGCTCGTGGTTCTGTCCACTCCGCAGCCCTCATGCGTTCACACCACGATATTGTCGATATGTGTTGGGGAGGCTCAAAGATGGAGATAAGAATGCCGCTGTGTTTGCCCGACTCCTGTGTGATTAAGAAGTTTGCCCTTGAGCATGTTCCTTATCTGCCACTGGTGAGACACTGTGGTGTGTCATTGCTGAGCGAGGAAGCCTGAGGTGGTGTCGGCACCTTTCATCACAGTTCTGTAATCTTCTGAAGCTCTCATGCATGTTCAGCAGCCAAGAGCTTGTGAGTGATGCCCTTGTGCCTTGACTGCTATTACCACAATCCTTTTCTGCTTTAAGCAACTGGGATAACACAGTTGAGAACTGGTATTTCTGTCTCTCAGATTTCCATGTGTATTTTCTTATATATTTTTTTAGCAGATATACATTTTTGAGAGAAAGCAGGGTCAGTCAGTCCCTGGTTCCTCATTTACCTCATTTACTCAAGCTTATGGGTACAAGTCAATTATCTCCAATTTGCCTCCTTGGCTATGGACCATTAAAAACAACAAACAAATAAGAAAAACATATTGTGAACAACCTCTGCAGGCTCTGTGTTGATGTTGTCATCGTTTCTCTCTTTTTCTGTCTTTTTCTGTCTTCACCAGCGACCGCAAATTTAACTGAGTGCAGGAGTAAATGTAGCTCTACTTAAATTTGGATGTAGTTTAAAACCCAGCAGCACTGGCTGACGTTCAAGCGATGGGGCCCATCGGATTTCCTGAGGAGATTCCATCGAGTGGGAAAATCAAGAGTGTAAAAAAGGTGTCAACAGTAGAATTAATGTAACCGAGGTTTGTCTGCGGTATCCAGTGGCTACGGCTTGCGTGTGATGCGGTCTGACATGTATTTGTTGTGGTATCATCAGTATCAAGGGCTGGCAGAGTGGTTTTGCAGCCACCCTAAATCCATAGCATTTGAGAGGGTCACCGTGATTGGGAGAGTCAAACTGTCCCCAATTCTGGATCTTGGGAAGGGTTGGGTTTAGGGGACAGATCACAGCATTTAGGCTGATCCTGGATACTCCTTGATGCTGGTATCCAGGTTCAGGTCTAAGAAATGAAACACACACAGTAGCTTACTGCATGAAACCCCTTACACTGGGGGCCTTATACATACGTCTATCATGGCTAGACCAGATGGCACATGCAATGCATTCCATCTGTTTTCCATTCAGCCTCAAATGGACAGTTTATTGGGCAAGCTTTAAGAGATTTTGCAAAGACAGTGACTGCTTTTTTTCACGGTCCTTGTTGATCCTTATGTGTATCTGGAAGATTCAAGTTATGTTGCCCTCCCACCTGCTCTCTCCCCAAAAACACTTCAACTCTAACATACAGCAGATTTTTCACAGGTTAGCTTCAAACCATCAAGAAAGGATTTACTGCCAGGTTACATCGATGGAAGACGTCCAGACTGAAACAGAAGGCGAAGCCAAAATTCTGTCGGGTAGAAAGATGATAGTCTGCTTGCACAGATAAGATAAGGCTGATGTTGTAGCCAGCAGGGATCTGGAAAGTGGCATCACCGAATTACAAAAAGTCTTCACGCTTACATTTGTTTATTGTACATGGAGGAGACTATTGTTGGTGCCTCCTTAGGCCATCTGACAAAATGCTCCAGTAGGCTGAAATCGTGCGACCTTGACTGGAGATTGACTGTGTCCCCTGTGCTCCCCACACCTGCTTCCTGTGCTGGAGCAATGTGCTTCCCCTGGCTACCGGCGTATCAGACGTCTGTGTGCTTGTTTGCTCTCGGGCTGTTGGAGAGGGTGCAGCGGGGACAGCTGGGGTTTTGGGAGTTTCCCCTCCGAGAGATGTGTGCATGTGTCAGTTTGTGTCCAGCTACTTTTCTCACCATTTTTGCGTTACTGTATTTTGAGCAGGCACTCAAAGCAATTGGCTGTCGCTAGCTAATCTGTGGTCTCCCCTCTCCATCTGGTAAACCGGAGTCAAATCAAAATCGAATCAAGATCAAATCAAATGCACAGCAGTACAGGATATAGCGGTAGATGTGGGTAATGAAATCAATTTCCCTGAGAGCTCCCTATAGTGATGTAATAAAAATAATAAATGAAGTAAATACGTCTTATAGAAATGAAAAATGTGCAAAAAAGTTTGCAAAGTGCCCACACTAATAGCCCCATCAGGCAGAATGTGAATAAAGCAACTGGGTAATGCCTATGTGAGGGACTTGGGGGGGGGGGGGGGATATGGCATTCCAGCAGGCCTGGAACTAGTGGGCCTCACTTCACACCCCCCCTACACACCCCCCCCCAGCACACACACATACACACAAATGCATGGAGTGGAGCCCCAATGCTGCAGATTAGCTCCGCTCACATTAGCGCCTCGCTGCATTCCTCAGCCCTGCTGGGGGGGAGGGGAAGAGGCCTCTTTTTGTGTCCCACCCCCCAGCCTATCAATTAACACCACTGCGCTAAGTGGGGCCTGCTTGCAGGATGGGACGTCAAGCCCCCTCTTTCTCCCCATCCCTGGGATTTGGGTTCTTCCTCAGCGTTCCCTCGACGTTCCCATGACGTAGCTGTATTATCATGTCCAAGGAATGCCGGGCAAATTAGAACATCTGTTTGCTCACTAGACTCAGTCGTCTTTATTTGATCATTCTGTGCTGTGTTTTGTAGATTGTTAGGTAATATCTGTGCAGAAGCTCACAGGGTAAAGCGGTGATCAGCTGTGTTTGTCAGTCAGTTATAGCTGCAAAAACCAATCTGAAAAAGATGGATATGGATGTAACTTAAGTGAAATGTGTGAAATGTTCAAACTGATATAGTGGTGCACACTTCCTGAGAGCTGATTCCATTTCACATTTCAAAGCTGGACAATGACTGTCCCCTTGGCCTAAAACTCTCTTCAGACTGATATTGTGATTCCCACAATGATAGATATGAGGAAGTGGGCCATGGATCTTTCCCCATGGTTGTACTGCTAGGTGCTGACACTGTGAGCACTGTGGGCATTGTACAGTGGATATAAAAAGGATCCAAATTTGCTAAAATCCCCCAAACAGTAAAACTGTTTTTAATGTGGTAAGTCATTGAGTGTGTTGTTGGTGACCTTGGTGACCTTTCTGAAAATCAGGGGTGTCTTCAGGGGCAGGGCCAGAGAGACTTTGGCTCTAGCTGAAAGTTGATTGGCATCCAGAGTTTCACCTCCCCTGTCACGACTGAAAACATATCATTGGCTAATGATTAGCTTAGCCCCTTTGTATGAATTATGGCCTCTGCTATGCTGAACACCTCAAAAAATCCTAGAATTGCCCCTGCTGAAAATGTACTTTTTTGGGGTGTGGAATATACTTGAAGGTCAGGTTTTCAGTCGAGATTAGACTGGTGCTTGTTTTTCAGTGTCTCTGCACATGTAGGGCATGCCCCACCAACACTGTCCCTGTCTCCAAACAGCTGGACGTACCTGTGATGGGCAAAGTGACCAGCTCCTGGGTCCAACTCGAATGGGCAGAGATGTCGTGGACCACCAGGACCTTCAAAGCTCGGGATGGGGTTTGGGTGACCGATTCCAGGACCCGGCATTACAAACCCCAGAACTGCTATCCCCCGAAGTATGTCTGGCCACTTTTACAGAAAAGTATAACTCACCCCACCTTAGAATCACCCGCAGGTCTAAATGGAGAAGTCCTGCTTGTAGGAAAGGGCATGGTGTATATTAAATGAATCGGCTCTTTGTCCATGATGATTACCCTATGGCTCCGTATTCGACACTCCAGAACATTCTGTGCCACTTGGCTGACTTGCAGTGGTGCACGCAATTAATGGCTAAACCTCTCCCACACGAAAACGCACCACCTTCATGTACACAGAGAGCAGTAGCTGACAGCGATGTCCCGGGGAGAGCAAAGGCAGGTGAGGTGAAAGCCTTCTTGGATCATTCTGGTCCTGGGCTCAGGTTCAAGTCTTTAGAGAGATGGTCTGTTCACTGTCAAGTTCTCCAAGGTCTGAGCTAAAAAGTAACCCCACAGATGCTGGTAATGGGTCTACCAGGCAGGCATGGATTGGGAGGGCACTATAGACTTCTGCGATGAACTGTTTGTGTTGGTGCACATGTGTTGTAAACCCAGTAACATTGTTATTTATAGGTTTGGTGACTTTAAAATCAAATGAAGCACCATTTGTATAAATACATAGGAACTCTTTTGGGGTCTGAGTGCAGGGTCAGGGATTTATCTGATACCTCAGAGCATTTTCTAGAGGTGAAGGGCCTTCCACAACGGCCCAAAAGTGATGTGACTATTCTTAATCTGCTGAGCCACACACTACTGCATTAGATCTAATCTCATGTTTGTGTTTCCCCAACAGAGTTCTATCCTCTACACACCCAGCAGCATGGAATATGGCAGTCGGAGTGAGCAGTTGGTTCCCCGGGTGGAGGCAGTTGCTGAGATGGTTCCGGCTACCCCCGCTTTTCCCGTGTCCCCCCCGACTCCTTACGGTAAGCCCCCTCCCCCAATCTGTCTGTCTGCATACTGAGAGTTTCTGTGTCTGAATAGAGGCTGTCAAACAAACGTCTTTTCTCCCTACCTGGAGAGAACTGACAGGCAAGACGTGGCCTTGGGGATGTTTTGGGAATAATAAGAGATTTACTGTAACTAAAAGAGTGTTTATCATCCAACCATGGGAGCGTCTCCCAGCCGCTTGTGCAGTTCACTGTCATGGGAGCGTCTCCCAGCCACTTGTGCAGTGCACTGTCATGGTGAGCGTCTCCCAGCCGCTTGTGCAGTGCACTGTCATGGGAGCGTCTCCCAGCCACTTGTGCAGTGCACTGTCATGGTGAGCGTCTCCCAGCCGCTTGTGCAGTTCACTGTCATGGGAGCGTCTCCCAGCCACTTGTGCAGTGCACTGTCATGGTGAGCGTCTCCCAGCCGCTTGTGCAGTTCACTGTCATGGGAGCGTCTCCC